GCCAAAAAAGGCACCTCCAAAGCAGCCCTGTCAAATTCTCAAGCAGTGAAGCAGCATCTTCCTGCTACAAGCATTTCCCACGCAGCAGTCAGCAAGTTCAGCAGAACACCAGGAAGTCAAATTCAGGACAGACCTGGGCACAGCTGTGTAGAACAAGGGACCTGTGGGCCTCTGATACTGCCTTTTGTACAGGTAGATGTGGGGATTTTTTAAACACCAGGGAGGTTTAATGCCAAAGCAGGCAAGACTAGGTGGTTACCCATATATAATAAGGAATTGCTGGAATCTGCTTTAATCATTATGTCAGCCGCACATTGACTGCGAACAGGTCCTCGCAGCAGCCTCAAATCCCATCTTTGTTCTACCACCCAAGAAAATTGAAGCATGGCTGTCTGATTACACACTACTTGTGTAAGTAAACAGAATCCAGAAGACAAAGCCACTCCACATCACAGATTGCTGTTTGCAAAGGTGAGAACACAAACAATTTCAATGATTCCAGCCACCCAGAAGCTGTCACTAAACTGAGCACCATCACACAAGACTGACATCCCCCCCACCCCTCCCTCTATTCACTAACCCTTCTTCAGAACGCAAAACACCCAAATTTACTCTTAAAAACAGTTCATCTCCTCATATCTCCTCGAAGGAGTTATCTAGAACAAGATCCAGACACTACGGAACACTGATCAAGACTAATTGCTGATACCACTTGGCTTTTAGCTAGTGCACCCACCAGTGTGTTTATGCTAGTCAGCCTACTACATGCAAGTTGCATAAGGGGTAGGAAATGCCGAACCTGACATGACCTAGTCACCACAGAGTCAATATTGACATTTCCCTCATTTAAACACCATAAGGGGGGAGGAAGGTAGAAGGAATACATCCCAGTGCCAGGTGGGCAGGCATTCCCAGAATTTAGCTTCCAAACACTAGCACTAATAGCTCATTCATCCCTCTTCAGCTCCTTCACTTGAAGGAAAGCACATTTACTTCACTAAGCTGCCCCACAGCTCTGGAAGTTAAGGAAGCTCTAACACATACCCATCCCTGCAAACCCTTGCACCACCAGCTGCTAATCCTGTAACTTCAGTATGAAAACTGAAGGAGGCAGGTCTTTCACTTTTAACCAGCTCTCCCACTGCCCTCTGACAGAGTTCTGGTATGTCCAGGAGAGAGGATCTGGGGCTATAGCCTGATCTGAAGTTGTGATAAGGAAGTGAGAATGTGTTACATTATAGACATGGAACTTTTAAAAGGACAAATGGTCATCCGTATCTATATCTGCTACAGGTAACAGAAGGAATAGTGTTGTAATCCCATAAGTCTTATTCCTGCTTTAAAACTGATCCAAGTACACATATTACAGTAACAGATAATTTCTGTTCATCTCACCACACCCTTCCCATTCTCCTATCCTCATCCTGCAGACACAATCCTGTCCGGAAATACCAACTTAATACTACAAATTAATCTTAAAATACAGCTTTTCCTCCATTTCAAGGACTGGGCCCTCACCACCAGGAACAAGCACTCTTCAAAGGCTGAACCTCCCTCAGAATATTTTCCTTATCTTCATAACATCCAGTATCTCATTTCAGGGAACTCCTCTCTGCATCAGTCTAGAAAGCCAAGAGGCTTTACCAAGGGTAAAAATACCTACAAAAAAAAGCCCTCTTCAACCAGTTTCTATACACTGTTAGTGGTCCAACACTTTGCTGGCAGTTTTTCACTACAAAGCCCACCAGTCTGCAATATAAAGTTTAACTCTGAGTATCATTACAACCACAGGGGTACCAACTATTTGTTGGTCTTCCACCCACTGACTACCTCCAGTGACTGTTTTGGTGTTTTCCAAAGCCACATGAGGAAGGCTGTTTATTGTCATCTTGCCAAGATGTAACCCGAGTTCCTGGCTGTACCTCTTAACTATCCCCAACAATCTCACAGTACTAAATGACTGCTTGGCTTCTACTCCTTGCTCTTCAGGTGATTTTAACAGGCCCAGAGTGCTTGCAACCACACTGCCATAAGCATTGAGCACAAAAGCCATAGCCACACAAGTCAGTAGCCTCAGCTGTGTGGCAAAGCATGGTCTGAGGACCAAAGTTGTGAAAGCACCATCCATGATGAGAGGCAACGGGTATCTAGAGCTGTAATGTCATACCACACGTGCACTTGAACACCATAACCACTCCAGTCACATTAGAGGGCACCGTGGCTTCATCATCCCAAAGTGGAGCGCCAGCAAAGCCAGCACCTGAAATACTAAAACCATTCTTCAACCATAACATCTTGAGAGCACAGCAGTTTTAAAAGTGCTTTTTAAACTAATCCCAACTCTCTCCCCTTGTTCACACAAAAAAGCTGTGAGCAAAACAAGGTTTATGGCCCCTGACATCCTGGTGGGCAAGTCCCTGCTCTTCCAGTTGCCAAGATACAGACACCTATTGAGCAGGGAGCTCAGGCATCTCCACTCCTGAGCAGGCCAACTACAGAGAAAGGCCATAAACACAATATGAGGTACAACAAACCTCGAAAAAAGCCTGTGTCGTTACCAGGCTTTCTAGGCAAGCTCTATTTCAGTCCAAGACAACCCCAAGAGCGTTTCATTATCAACTCCCAGCATTGCAAAATCTACATAGGCAAGAAGTGTTTTGCAAGAGCCATGTGACACACACATGACTTGCAGCTAAAGTGAAGGGTGGACCTCTGACTACTAAGCTGCCAGCAGCAAAGCGGCCAGGAAGATCGGCTTTCACAAAGCGCTGGTTTCCCCCCGTCACTTGTTGGAGCTCGGGCCCCGATGCGCAGTATCGAGACCCGGGAAAATCGCCGTCTGCTGCTCCCATACTTACTGCGCTCCAGGGGAGGGAGGCGAGATGCCGGAACCACCGGGATCACCGGCCCCACCGCACCGGTTTATGGCGGGGGCATCATTAACTTTTCATAGCCCGCCGCGCGGATAACCCACCCCCTCCCGCCCCGCCAGGGCCCGTAACCCAACCCCCGGGGACGGCTCCCGCAGGCCCAGCGCCTCCACGGCCCCTGGAGCACCACTCTCAGTGGCCAGGGGCCTTCAGACCTGAAGGCTCGGCCCTTCCGCCCCGTTCCTTCTCCCCCCGTCTCCCCCCCCCCCACCCGCGCCAGGCCCGGCGGCCGCCTCCTTCCCCCCCGCCCCGCTGCCCGCCGATCGCACTCCTGCCCCCCCCAGTACGGAGCCGCGGCGAAGCCCTTCCCGGCCCACACTCACTATTCGGGATTCATGCTGGACATGTCCGTGGGGCCCGCGGCCCGAGGGACGGCGAGCACGCTGTGAGGGGGGACGGTCGCGGCCTGGCACCTCCCGCCGCCGAGGCGGGCGCTCCGCGGATGCAGACGTCCAACAGCTGCCGCCTTCGCCCGGCGCTCGGCTCGGCCTGCCCCTCCGCCGGCGCCCTGCCCGCTCCGCGGCCTCCCCGCTCGCTCCTCAGCCCAAAATGGCTGCCTGAGCCCAACCAGGAAACGGGGCGGCCTCTCGCCGAGCAGCGCTTACATGGCCGGGGGGCGGCCGCGGGGCACGCCGGGAAACCGAGTCCCCCTGCGGCGAGCGCGGCCACTCGGCTGTGATGGCCGGACTCGCTTTCCCGGCGTGCCTCGCGGCGACGGCAACGCATGCGCTTTGGCACGCCTTTCTTCCCTGGGCCCCGTCTGCTGGCCGCGGCGGCTGGCTCTGCGGATTGGCTGGGGAGGAGCCGGCTCGCGGTGACGTCAGCGGGAAGACGTGGCAGCTCGGACGAGTCACCGCGCGGGCAGGAGGGGGGCGTGGCCTCGGCGGGCGGCGCGGGGCGTGGCGCGAGGTGCCGCGCCCAAGTCTCCCCCGTTCCCCGTTCCCCCCTCCCCATCTCCGTGCGGGTGCCCGGAGCTGCCGGTGCCGCTCGGTTCGGGCTGCCCCCCTTTGGCCCGCTGCGGTCCGATGCGCATGTAGCGATCGGGTGTTAAAGGGGTTCACAAAGGCCCGGGGTAGGGCGGGTTCGATGTGGGGCGCGGTAAGGGCCCGGCGAAGTTCATCTCTGAAGGGGGAACCTTCGGGTGCAAGCACAACCCGGGTGTTTGTTTCACCGCTCATTTTCGTGTCGGTGAGGGGTAAAAATGGAGGGGTTCGAATCAAACGGGAACCACAGGGGCGGGTTGACATCTGTGGTGAACCAGGCACCTGCAGGAGCTCAGACCTCCACATCCATTACTAAGTAACAATTCCCTTTATTTCGCGTTCCTCTTCTCAGCAGCATTTTACAAGCATTAATTAGTCACCTTCTGTAACATTCTTTGGGCATAGTAAATGCTGCTAGGCTCGTTTTACTGCTGGGAAGTACATGGAGAGATTAGCACACACCTGGGATTTCAGAGCAAACAGCTTGCTAAAGCTGGAAGAATTCAGAATATAGGAGATAGTTTTCACTTAAATCCTTGCTGAATATCAAGTTGTATCACTGACATTTTATGTTCTCAGGTTTATTCCTAACAAAACCCCAGCCTTTCCAACACCACTGGGAAGAGCACATCGCTGCAGTGCTGGGCATCATTGCAACTCAACACAGGGCACTGCTAAAAGCTTATGAGTCTTAACAGCTCCTTGTAATCAGCTTGGGAATTTAAATCCCCACTAAATACATATTATCTGATGTTATTTCATTACAAAGGGCATAGTATAATACATTGACCGAAGTTTATCTGCCATCCAGCTCAAAGGACAGGAGGAACAATCCGCAAGTGGATTGCGAGATCACTGAAGTGTGTGTAGGGCTCCATTTCTGCAAGCTGGGCTGTGTCACTCCAGGCATCCAGGTGTTAATCTGTTACATGCTGCCTTCCATCAAGCTGCAGGTCACCAGTGGTGTAAGTACACCCAGAACCAAACTGGACAGCAACAGAGCAGAGCTGAATCCCCAGAGGAACTGAAATTCCACAGTCTTGTCCTATGTTTCCCCCGGACAAAGATCGTGAAATGCCACTCACACTCCACACATCTTCATGGGTTTAATATAGTTATGTTCAGTGCCTTAAAAAGTAATAAACTCTGCCAACTATAACTGAAAATACAGAGCACTGGTTAAAAAAGGGTTTGTGTTTCCTTTGCTTTCTTGCATTGCTTGTTCTGTAGCATAACCTCCAGATGAATCCACCATATAAATTACTGTACATACTGCTGCTGTGGTGGCCATCGCTGAAGATTCTACTTCCCTTTCCCCATTACGTAGTTTGTTTGTGAAACACCACCCATTCTGTTTGATGTTTGCCATTAGAAAGCCAATGAATCCTTTGAAACTCTCTCTCCTCTCTCTTGAGACAGTCTGTGGAATGTGTCCAGATGTGCAGGAATATCCCAGATGAGAAACGTCACTCAGCAGACAGCACGTCATTCTCTGCCAAATACAAAACTTGCTTTATGAAGGGATATTTGTAACAGTTGTGCTTTGACTCCTCTCTTCCCCAGTGAAACATAAAGCTCCAACCACCTCAATTCCATATTCTGTTGTGAGGAATAATGCTTGCAGGCCACAGTAAACAGGGCTCTGCCCCATACGGTGCTGCATAAATGTATCCAGCACAGTCAGAGCAGACACAGGGACAAACCAACTCCAGCTCTAGCTAACTATGAAAACCACAAATTAGATTTACTTCTGAAGTAGGGCACGGGTTAATAAGAGTGTGGGATGCTGTTTCATCTCACAGAAATAATAGCTTCCGTGTCTGAGAAGAGCATATTTAATCTGTGTGTCTTCACCAGCAGCATGGCAGGTGTAGCAACCCATGGATGCAGGCTGGGTGTAAAGGCTATGTAAAAAGTGAGTTTAATTCAGCTCTGCAGGGTGGGCTTGAGGTTGCCCATATTGCAGGCTGAGGTTGTGTGATGCACTGATGTTATCTGCAGCTGAGTGTCTGCACATGGACCCGTTTAACTGGATGAACAGGCTCAGGACCCCTGCCTGCTTTCTAGCTGGAGTGATGATTTACAATCCATGGATCACATTCTGTCCTGTTCCTCCTCCTTCCTTAAGTGGGTTTGCACAGCTTGTCTTGAACATCATGAACCACTGGATGGTCAGAGAGGCCTTGCTTGTCTCTTGCTAATAGGAGTATAATGCAAGGAGCAGTATCAGATGCCAGTTAAGGAAACATTATTCATATACCTTCAGGGCTGAATTTTGCCTGTGCCAACAGAGGCTGATTTTATCCTCTTAGTGGAAATCAGATGCAGAACTTCCTTTGGCTTGGGCTGTAGTGCTCTACCAGAGCGGCCCAGGAAAAGCCGTGAGCAGAGATTACCTTGAACTGCAATCACCTTCCCCAGTCCTGTGCACCCCAACCCACTAACTCGTGTTCTTGAGGTTGAACTCTGCTCAGTGTCCTGGTTCCACTCAGGTGACCTGCCATCCCCTACTCCCTTCCCTCTCCTCCCTAAGCCACAAAAGGTGTGTGCCAGAGGAGGCTCCAAGCAACGAGGAGACAGGAGGACACAGGATGGAAGTGAGGTGCAGTGGCTGCAGGGAGGTATAAGAGGGGAGAGGAAGGAAGAAAACCAGCATGAGTGATGGAGGAAGAATGTTACAGCTGCATGAGCTCACATTGTGCATGTAGTACGAAGGCTGCATACCTGCTGTGAGGCTGTCAGTGGGACTGTGAGGGAACTGCCCATGTGGATTGCAGCCTGCAGAAAGCAGTGAGGTGGGTAGGGTTTATTCTACCATCCTCTTCTGCCCCTATTTCATGTGAAATGATCAGTATTTTTTAGCTATATAACCACACCACCCTGTCACAGGGCACAGGAAGGTTTCAGGTCTGCTCTCTACCACTTTACCAGTGTTTTTACCTTGAAAATGTTTTTCTTTTCCCTGCGTAACAGATCTTGAACCAAAAGTAGGGGGAATCAGGTTTCTGACCCAGTACTGCCTTCCCATAAAGCTGTCATGTTAGCACAACAATGTTCAGATTTGTCCCCTGCCAGTGTCCCTTTCCCTACACTATGTATAAAACTAAAAAAAAATAAAGAATTTAGGTATTTATTTCCCCTTCTGCCTTTGCTCTTCCCTTCCCCTCTCCCTTCTCAGAGTCTGATCCATGTTGTGGGAAGCTCGAAGGCTAAGAGAGATGCACAACAGCCACACGGAGAAGGTCAGGCACCAGGAATGCACACTGCAACTGACTGGTTTGCTACCGGGACTGCTGGGGTACAAACACTGATTTTAGCTTATCAGCAGCAGCAGGTCTCTCTCGTACTGCTCACAGTCCTCCCATGTATTTAATCTCTCTGCAGGACTTGTCAGCTACCAGTGTTTCTTCTGACAAGATAACCATGACATCTGTGCTATGCTGGCAGCACACCTAAAATGGTGTTAGCAAATTCTTCTCCTTATTAATTCTTGATTTAAGAAGGACAAGGAAGGAGTAAGTTGCTGATGGACCTGTGGTACCACTGGGAGGCACAGAACAAACACCAATACACCATACCCAGGTGTAATCTGAAGTCATAAAAACAGGTATAGAAAGGGAAATGGTGTTAATGGTATTTTGTAACTGTTTAAGAGAGCTGGTCCACTATTACATACTGCTTCTTACATCTGGGAGGTACCACATGGTGCAATGGTACTTACTGGTCTGCAAGTCACCAGGAAACAGCTGATGTCCAGCTCTACCTCTCAGTTCTGCCTCACACAGCCTGTGCTTTCGACTCCTGCAGTGAGAGGAATGAAGCCAGAGGTTTCACATTGGTTACAATCACAGGCAGAAGCCAAGCAGATACAGGCAGGGTGAAGTGTCAAGAGCATGTGGTGAATGTGAAGGGATAGCAGTACTCAGGGAGAAGACAACCAGTTCTGGTGAGCTAAATCTCTTTTAGGAAACCCCTAGAAGGACATCTGGTACCTTGTTCTGGTTCCTTTCTTCAGAATCCAGGCCCAGCTGTGAGCACATGGGAGTTTTGTGGCAACTGTTACCCAAATTTGAAGCAGAAAATTATTTCAGCAGGACATAAAACTCTGCAATTGGTGACAAGTGGAGTTCCTCAGGGGTCAGTATTGGCATCAGCACTGTTTAACATCTTTGTTGGTGACATGGAAAGTAGGACTGAGTGCACCCTCAGCAAGTTTGCGATGGCATCAAGCTGTGAGGTGCAGTTGACACCCTGGAGGGAAGGGATGCCATCCAGAGGGACCTGGACAGGCTGGAGAGTTGGGCCAGTGCAAACCTCATGGAGTTCAGCAAGGCCAAGTGCAAGGTCCTGCACCTAGGTCAGGGCAATACCAAGCACAAATACAGGCTGGGCAGAGAAGGGATTGAGAGCAGCTCTGAGAAGAAGGACTTAGGGGTGTTGGTTAGTGAGAAGCTCAGCATCACCCAGCAGTGTGTGCCTGCAACCCAGAAACCAACTGTGACCAGCAGGTTAAGAGAGGGGATTCTCTCCCTCTACTCCACTCTCATGAGACCCCACCTGGAGTACTGCCTCCAGCTCTGAGGCCCTCAGAACAAGAGGGATCTGGACCTGTTGGAGTGAGTCCAGAGGAGGCCAAAAAGATATCAGAGGGCTGGAGCACCTCTCCCATGAAGACAGGCTGAAAGAGTTGGTGGTGGTTGCCTGGAAAAGGCTCTGGGGAGACCTTTTAGCAGCCTTCCAGTACCTAAAGGGGCATGCAAGAATGCTGGAGGGGGATTTTTTACAAGTGCATATAGTGACAGGACAAGAGGGAATGGCTGTAAACTGAAAAGGGAGAGATTTAGATTAGATATTAGGAAGAAATTCTTCACTATGAGGGTGGTCTAGTGGAAGGTGTCCCTGCCTGTGACAGGGGGTTGGAACTAGGGGAGCTTTAAGGTCCCTTCCAACCCAAACCATTCCATGATTTTATGATTCAATGATAAGCTGGCTACCTATTAACTTTAATATCTTTCTTTGCTTTTTTCTTTACATGCTTGCCATGCTTCAGATCTTGATTTCCCAACCTTCTGCAAAACTTGACAGTACCACATTTTGTATTGCATGGAGGAAGCACAGGGGTTTGGTAGTTGGGCTTTTGTTACACAAGTCTAGTGGGAGCAGCGTAACATTGCAAGCTTAGAACAGTAACTGAACACATTTGCTAAGATCATACTAAAAAATAAGGTTGTAAGAGACACCAAGAGATGATCTTGTCAGTTCCTCTACTTTAGTTGCATCTATTTCAACGTCCAGAAATGCCAATTCCACTGTTCCCACGGGACGTTTATGACAGCACCCACAAGAAAGGTAAAAAAAGCTCAGTGGTAAAATGATTCCAAGGATAAATTAAGCAGCTTAGGCTTTTACTTAATGTTGCTGTTGAATTTAGTACACTTTACTTCATCTGTTATATCCTGGGCATCTTTTAAAGCACAGTCTTCAGTGCTACAAGAGATAAAGAAGACAGAGCTCAAGCTGAGCTTCTGTGGCTCTGTGCCAGCAGAGAATCTGGCCTGATTGTTGTTTATAGAATGGCAGATCAGGCTCTGGACCACAACTGTGCAACAGGAGGTTGGGCTCTGAGGTTGCCGTCTCCTGAGCACCTGATATCCTGCTTGCAGGACTCGTTTCCTTCTAGTAAATGAAACTTCTCTAACTGATGCAGACCTTTTGACTGGCCACATAGACACTGGGGCAGAGTACTGCTAGAAAGCACACTTGAAAACATCAGGAAATAAGAACACAGGGGCTTGTGGGGATCATAGTACTCTCCACACATACTGGCAAGGGCTGTCTTCCACCTCTGACTCATGCATTTTGCAACGCAGCAGAGATAGCAGGGTAGTGCACCATGGAATTTGGTCGCTCTGCTCTTTGCCTAGGTATCTATTTGCTTAAGAGTTTGATTCATCATACCAGTTATCATGTAAACACTCTGGCATGTATTCATCTAGCTGGGCTGGCATCTCCCTGCTTGGCACAGGATGTTGTTTAACACTGCCAGTTGACTTAATACCGAAGGTTGTTTCATTGGATTTTGCAGGTAGTTTTGATGCCAGAGTTCTTTCTGGAAGGGAGTTTTACCCTGTTAAGCTGAAAAGTTTGTATTTTCATATATATACATGTCTTTATGGCACCCAGAAGTGGCAAAAGGATACAATTCTAATGAAAAGCAGCAAACCAAATCAATGGCTGTACCTTCTTTCATCTTTCCTTCTGCTGTCTCAGCCCTTCTCTTCCATACCAGCTTTTGTGCCATTATTCTCTCTTCTAACCTCTTCCTTTTTCAAAACCTTTCTTCCCAGTTTTTATTTGTTCCCAATCCTCCTCTGTTTCCTCATCCTTTTTTGCACACCTGCCTTGCACAGCATTTTCCGTACTTTGTGTGTTGCACGCTGACTTGCGTCTGAAACATGTTATTCAGCAACAAAATGCTTCCCCTGTTTCATGGCCTGGTATTGACGTTGTTTTACATTCCATGACCTACATTTTTAATTTCTCACTGTTCTTTGTGCTTTTTCCTCTTTCTTGCCCCTTGGCATTTTGTTCTCTCCCTTGTAAGCTCCATCTCACTTGGTCTGGCACGTTCTGCGCAGGCTTGTGGAACTGCTTGCATGTGCCTGTGCAGTTTAGCTGTATTGCAGAAGCATCTCAGACCTCTACAATGAAATCTGCATCTGCAGTTGTGTGTTAGACTGTCTTCTGGAATCATCTGTTTCACAATGGCTATAAATGCTGGGAGAAAGGAGGAGCCATCTCCCACACTACCCAGGCACAAGTGCAGATCTTCATGAGGAAAGGACAAGCATTTTTGCCAAGCCCCAGAGGCACTTTGCTCTCCCTACACAGGATTAATCTGGAGCCCTGGCAAGGCAATGGCTGGACGCACAGTTTGAGAAATACTGTTACAGCTCAGGGATGCAGCACTAACTAGACCCCCAAAACACAGCACGTACTGAGCTGTTCAGTGCTTGAGCTTCTACAGCCTTCTAAGCTCAAAGGTTTTTCTGACAGCTCTCAAAAGGCTTTCTTACAACTCTGTGTTTTTCTTATCTGTACTGTCTTTTCAGTTTCATGCTGTATTTCATGCCTAAAAATGGCAACAAAACCACTTGGTCTACCCAAAGCTCTAAATGAAACTTGTATTTGGTGCTGTATCTTTCTGTAAGCAGGTGCATTTCAACTGAAGAGTTTTACTTTGTTAAGTATTAGGGGATTTGGGGAGATTTGAAAACAAGCTTACGTAATTGGTTTATCCTATCAGTAATGTTGATAACTGCATACCTTCCTTGGCTGGCAGACTAAACTCTGAGTAGTCATTCACTGAATTAAACTAACAACCAACAGAAAGCCAGATGGGACTCATCTTCTGTTACTGTTATTCTGCATGAATCCTTAAATGCAACAAGAGCTCAAGGGAAAAAAAGCCCAGGCGTTCGATCTGGATGTTAAGAGGGTCAAATGCCTTCATCTTCATCCTAGAACACGATAAAGAGAACTGAGGCTAGCTTACAGACCTGTCATTGATAACTGTTATTTAAAATCCTTCAGATGTCAGTTCAGGATTAGGTATCATCACAGTGGCTTAGCAACTTCATTTGCCGGGTCCTGAAGGAGCTGGTGAATGAAGTTGCTAAGCCGCTGGTCATTGCAATTGAAAAATCATGGCAGTCAGGTGAAGTTCCCGATGACTGGAAAAAGGGAAATATAACCCCCATTTTCAAGAAGGGGAAAATGGATGACCCAGGGAATTACAGACCAGTCAGTCTCACCTCTGTGCCTGGCAAAATCTGGGAGCAGATTCTCCTGGAAGGCATGCTAAGGCACATGAAAAACAAGGTGCTTGGTGACAGCCAGCATGGCTTCACTAAGGGGAAATCCTGCCTGACCAATTTGGTGGCCTTCTGTGATGGGGATATGGATGGACAGGGGTAGAGCAGTTGATGTCATCTACCTGGACTTGTGTAAAGCGTTCGACATTGTCCCACACGACATTCTTGTCTCTAAATTGGAGAGACATCAATTTGATGAATGGACCACTTGGTGGATAAAGAACTGGCTGGATGGCCGCACACAAAGAGTTGTGGTCAATGGCTCAATGTCCGGCTGGAGACCAGTAACGAGTGGTGTCCCTCAGGGATTGGTGTTGGGACCGGTCTTGTTCAACATCTTTGTTGCTGACATGGACAGTGGGATTGAGTGCGCCCTCACCAAGTTTGCCGATGACACCAAGCTGTGTGGTTCGGTTGATACGCTGGAGGGAAGGAATGCCATCCAGAGGGACCTTGACACGCTTGTGAGGTGGGCTGATGCCAACCTCATGAAGTTTAACCATGCCAAGTGCAAGGTCCTACACCTGGGTCGGAGCAATCCCAGGCACAGCTACAGGCTGGGCAGAGAAGAGATTCAGAGCAGCCCTGCAGAGAAGGACTTGGGGGTGCTGGTCAATGAGAAAATGAACATGAGCCGGCTTCAGTGTGCGCTTGCAGCCCAGAAAGCCAACCGTATCCTGGGCTGCATCAAAAGGAGCGTGACCAGCAGGTCGAAGGAGGTGATCCTGCCCCTCTACTCTGCTCTTGTGAGACCTCACTTGGAGTATTGTGTGCAGTTCTGGTGTCCTCAACATAAAAAGGACATGGAACTGTTGGAACAAGTCCAGAGGAGGGCCACGAGGATGATCAGGGGACTGGAGCACCTCCTGTATGAAGACAGGCTGAGAAAGTTGGGGCTGTTCAGCCTGGAGAAGAGAAGGCTGCATGGAGACCTCATAGCAGCCTTCCAGTATCTGAAGGGGGCTATAGGGATGCTGGGGAGGGACTCTTCATTAGGGACTGTAGTGATAGGACAAGGGGTAATGGGTTAAAACTTAAACAGGGGAAGTTTAGATTGGATATAAGGAGGAAGTTCTTTGCTGTAAGGGTGGTGAGGCACTGGAATGGGTTGCCCAGGGAAGCTGTGAATGCTCCACCCCTGGCGGTGTTCAAGGCCAGGTTGGACAGAGCCTTGGTTGACACAGTTGAGTGTGAGCTGTCCCTGCCCATGGCAGGGGGATTGGAACTTGATGATCTTAAGGTCCTTTCCAACCCCAGCTATTCCGTGATTCTATTTTATGCTTCTATTCTGATTCTATGATAATCCCTATTATTTCAGACAGGAGCTCATAATTTGTGTCATTTGTACCATTTGCATTATTTGTATCACAGAAGGGCATACCACTACAATCCTATGAGGAGGATGGTACAATCAGTTTAATAATGTCTTTGAAAAAACAAAGAACTGTCTTTGAACTGTGAAATTGATTTTTGGTAGCAGAGTTTGAAAAAAATAAAGGTTTCATTCTGCTTCAAACATTAATCAGTGAATTCAAGTGGTAAAACTGCATAGGAGTAAAGCCAATACGAGAAGCAAGCACTCAATGGGTTCTTTAGTCCACAAGTGGTAAGGAACCTAGCTCCTGCTTTACTGGAACAGGTACACCTGTAGGCTTCAACAGATAGGCAGTACATCCTATTTTACACCGCTTATCACTTGCAAAAATTTGAAGACACACCTGTGAGTGGAAGTAGGAACAGACATGAACCCTTTATCTGCATTGTACAAAGGCAAAATTAGGAAACTGCACTCAGGATTCAGCAAAGTGTGGAAAATTTGCCATGCAATTCAACATTTTTATGACTGGGTGAATTTGTTTCCCTTCTCTCACTTTCTTGCTCTCTTCTTCTTCCCCCTCTTTTCTTTTTTGCTGTTTGAATACTTTATTTTCAGATTGTACTGTCTACACTAACCTGGTACAGCCTATTCAGACACACAGCCTAAATAAAGCCAGAAACTCTTAAGTTCCATAGAGGTGTTTCATTTTCAAGCTAAGAGGCAGCAGCATTTAATTAGTAGCTCACTAATCCTGCTATCATTATTCACTGGAATCACTCAGCACAATGGAAGGGTGCTAAATTGATTCTAAATGACATTGTGTGATGACTGACTTAACAAACAAACAAACATGAAAGCAAAGGTGTTAAGTTACCGGGTACTGCTGAAAAGTGGTAGAAAAGCAGGATTCAAGACTAAAATATGCATAGTGGAAGCTATTTTTTCTCTTTTTGGTTTTGTTCATAAGGCACATGACATGAAGTTTGAAATTCTGTATTTAGGTGCTTAGCTTAATTTAATTTAGATTTAGACCGAGCTCCAGGTATACCAAATATATCAGGTATATCCAGACCTCAAAGGCTGCTTACCACTGTGGGTGAGGGATGGCCAGTCTGGCTGATCAGTCACCTATGGGTTTTCTTGTAAGATGCACCCTTCCATGGTTGGGAGGGTTGTTGCACTAATCCGTCAATGTGATTCTTTTCCTGAGCCCAACCACAGTGTGGAGCTGGCACTGATGAAGCAGCTCTGGTTTCTCCCTAAAAGCAAACAAAAGGTGAGATAAATCATATAATTTATATATATAATGTATATAAAAGGTAGATAATTCCAGGAGCTATAGATTTGCCATTGAGAAATTAAAAAACTATTTACATTCCACTGGCTATCATGGTAAAAAATAATTACAATGAATGCTACTCAAGCCAGGGTACTGAAATTATTTGCTCCTTTTACCTTAAGAAGAAAAAGTGTATTTAAAGATCAAGTAATTCATAGTTAAATGCAATCACTCCCTGCACACTGCATGCATTGCCTATGTTCATTAACTGATGAGATTCTTTTTGTACCATGCCAAAAAAGGTCGCATTTTGAATACATGACTAACTATTCAAATTAGGCTGTCATCTAACACAATATTGCCCCGTGTAATATTCATTCAATAACTGGGATTTTACGTCTGAATATGAAAGCTGCTAAAATACATGGTTCAAAAGACATATTAATATCATACCTAAATCAAGAGCATCAAAAAGTGGTGTGGGGCAGGAAGTCACAGAGGCTTATTATGTGAGACAGCACATGAAGAAAAAAATAATCAGAAGAACTACATTTGCTTTCCTATTTGGTATCCATGGAAGAAATATAGCACACATGGGAACAAGGGTGACAGCCTCTGCTGTGATGATTTTTCATTGCTTTTTGTACTAATACTGTAGTTCAGAAAGGGCAATGGACTACTGTGCCTTCCATCGACATGTAATTAACATATCAGAGACCTCAGCCTCCCTCACTGATTCAAAGGAGTCCACCTTACTTTTTCTAGGGTATGCCCAATCTAACACTTGGCAAACTGAATGCCCGCACCCCTCAGAGCAGCTATTTTGTGAGGCAGCCAGTTCTACAAAGTTATGAGGTCATATGCTCCCCCAAATCCTACTTTGCAAAATAATCATCCACCCTATTTTAGTGGTCACATTTTATGATCCAGGTCATAGACCTCAAAGATTACTGAGGAGGATGCAGCCTATCTCAAATTAAAAGGACAAGGAGAAATAGTGCAGTGGCAACAGGTAAAGTTGTGATGTACGCTGCAACCCCAGAAGCAGAGAAAGCTGAAGACCTCTGTAACCAACTTTCTATCCATGGATATTACAAAAGCTGTACAGCCCTTTCTTATAAAAGCTGAAGTGATGCATCTTCATTTTCTTTCGGTGGGCAGTCACTGTACATGATAAAAAGAGCTACATAAAATCATTTGTGGTGCAGCCTATAGTCCAGCCTTAGCTTTTTCAGTCCCAACAAACCCATTAAGCTGAGCCAGAAATGACTCATTCTCCTGAATAACGTTGCTCCAAAGCAACTGACTGCAGAGAATCAAGATACTGGCCTATGACAGCAAGAGAGAAGAGAGTGTTCTGACTAAGTTCCAACTATACCTTTATGTTCATTGCAATTATGCGAAGTTCAAACACATTTTTTCTCCTATTCACTGGACTATATCCTGCAGGACAGGCTGGCATGCATCCATGCAGGCCCTGAAAGAAACTGAGATTGATAAAAGGGAATGACGGGGTAAAAATGCTGCTTTTTGCCCTTAATTGTACCTAGACCTGTATGAAAGTCACCTGGTACTGTAGACTCCTTCCCACAGTGGGGCCAAAAGCTAAGTGTTCAAGGCAGAGCTAAACTGTAGGGAATGATCCTTTCTTTTTATAACAGGATTCCGGTTAGCCTTTCTGACCATTTCAGTTGGGCTCTACATATATATAGCTCATTTGGCAACAATGTTCTTAATAATCCATTTACATTTGTAACTGGTTTATTTTAAAGCATAATTATTGTAGTTAACTCTTCTTTTTTAAACTAATGATATAAAAATAGAGACTGAACCAATATCACAACCAGTAAGTTTCATTTTCACTGAAAGACTAATAATGGCTGATGCAATCTGCTTGTGCCTACTTGATGTAATCACAACCAGTTCAGATAAAGATGTTCCCTTTTATAATAGCTGCACTTGCTCGGACACTGTAACACTTACAGAAATGTTAGTTTAGCAGCAATTTGCCATTGCCATGAGCAAAAGTTGTGTATAAAACTAGAAACTCTGATGCCTTGGTTTCACTTCTGCTTTATAGTTTATAACTGCAGTGGTGAAGCTGCAATCTGGAAAGGCTCCATTTTGCTTCTGTAGAGAAGTTTCTGTCGACAAGCTTGCAAAATAGGTCTCCAAGGAATGTATTCGGATTAAGCAGGGAAGAAAAATTATACATAGATGGAATATTCATTTAACCGGACTGGCACAAGCCACCTGAGAGGAATCTATTCATTTTAACCAGCAATTTAAATAGCAGAGATTTTAAGTGTGGCTGTTCAACTTGACAACAATCTTTACATTGTATCATAGGAAAAGTGACCAAACAAAAAGGAGATGTTTGAAGTTGGACTTTTGACCATGTGGAAAAGAGATGCATGAAGGGGAGTAAGGACAGGTAAGGAACCTCCAAATTTGGTAGGGTGTTCAGGACGTATTGGGGACTGCAGTGTGCGTCCCTGGTAAGCTGAGTCCTGCAAAAAGCTGGTTTGAAAGGTCCATGTTCCTTCCAGAGGCTAGAAAAGCAGAGTGAGTTTTACTCTTTTCAGAAGGTATTGAACTGACTGCTTTAATGTGTGTGCAGAGAGTGACGGTTCCCTGGTGGGCAGCGATCACATGCTACCCCTCCAACACTACCAAAGGAGATCCTTTGCTGAATAAACCAGAACTCGTCTGGTTCAAGTTTGACATAAATGACCTTCTGCATGCAGAAAGCCACTCCTGCATCAGTCTGTATCAACAGCTGGGGGGGAAAGGAGGGAAAAAGGGAACTTTCAGTGGTTATTTGATCTAAAGCATGTAAAAAAACCTCTGCTTTGTTTTCTAAAGAATGCTGCTTTCCAACAAGATAACAATGGGTTGTAAATTACTGGATGTAAAGAGACAATCTTGACATGGATTGGACTGGTAATTTATGGTACTTGCATGAAATAAAAAAAGGCATCCTTTTGCTGATTTTTATACAAAATACTATTATATTCTGGCACAACAAAGTCCATAAGCTGAGGAACTATCATCTCACAGTGAGTGATGTCTATCTCTGCCAATATTAGTTTTATGGACCAAGTAATAACATTATGTTAATAACTGCTGATTGCTATTTGTGTACCAGCCTGTTCCAATACCATGGTGATGAGCATGCTGTTGGTGTCTGGAACAGATGGACAGAACACAAGAGATATTTGCCTTGATTCTAAGACAAATGGGATTACCTGTTTCATTAATAATGCTACATGAAAGCACAGAGAAAACCAGATGATTCTGTCTCCACCTCCAGTAACTGACAGGAAGAGAAAGGCAGTACACATTTATAAAGACACACACTGGGTGCAAAAAACAGTTTACCCTAACTTTGAGGGAGAGCAAATCTTTGAATCACTTGTAAAGCCAATGCAGCTGCTTTATGCTGTTGAGAGTGGAAACAAAATTCACCCCCTCACTGTCAGCAATACAGCTCCTTTGCAGTTCTCTGCAGAAATGATACTTCAGGCTGGAGATGAAGCAACTGCCTGCATCCTGTCCAACAGAACCGATTCCCTCCTTGCTGCCTTAAACACCCCTTACAAAAAAGAAATCTGACAGTTCCCATCGTTTCTGTAAGAAGAGAACTGAAAGAACAATGAATGCCATTTCATCTTGTATTTTTGATATGACAAAGAAATAGGGAGAAAAGTACACTTCAACTCTACTATGTTGTATCTTAAGCTCTATCATCAGAGAGCCACTTTATTCCGCACTCTTACTCTTTCACAGAAATGAGGAAGAAAGACCAAGACACAGAAGAAGAGGGAAATATTTCCACTGTAGGTTATGCAGCTCTGTTTAGAATTATGCCCCTGATATTGGGAAAAAATTATCACTACAAGATATGAAGCTGTATACCTTTGACAGATTGTTTTTCAATGACTACAAAAGCAGTTATGTGGGGAACAGAGCTCTGACACAGAGCACTGGGACCATAACAACAACAACAACTCCCTTCCTATCTCAGTGAAAAGCCAAAAGAGGAAACTACAATCTCCTGCTTTCATGTAAGAGCTGCCAACTTCCCACTGGTATTAGAAGCCAGTCATGTTTGGAAAGGAAATGACCTATTGCTGCATGGCGAAGCTAGCAGGTGCAGATGGCATGTGAACAACTTTCCCAATCACTGCTCTGCCAAGGTCACAAAACAAAAAGTACAAATGGTTTTGAGGAAAGTAATTCAGTTCCTGCCAGGTCATCCACAGAGTCTGAAAGCTCTTTATTCAATTTGGCATCCAAAAAGGTTTGAAATAAGGTCACCAGCGTAGGTGAGGTGTCAGATCATTGCAGTGATGTATTCTCTTCTCCCAACACACAGAGAATCCTATAAATTACATAACGTCAACGAACACTGAAGCACCACAATCATTCAAACCAACACAGTGGCAATGCCTGCTCTTTAAATTGAATCATCAGTTAATGCAGCCAGAAAGTTGCTTGTCCTGCAGCACTGTCTGGCCTGCAGACAACCTCGCACTGTCAGACTGCAGCAGAGCTGTGAGAAAGGAGCTGCTGGGTGCCACTGCCAATGCTACAACAGCGAGCAGGGACCGGCTCACTGTGTGGCCGTGTAAAGTGTGTCTCAGGATGAGGGGAGCAGCAATCAGGCAAAGAGCTGAAGGTCTCTGGAAATGAGATTTAGCATGCAGCCTGTGCTGAACACATCAAGAGAAGTCAGCACTGGAGAAGGCTGTTAACTACGGTGTGTTGGTATTAAGGCTCAAATCCTCAGAACTAAGATGAGAGAACTTTCTGCCATGCTTTCGCTTTCCGTTCCTTTTTGCTGGCAAACAACCCCCATCTACATCTGCCCAAGGAACCATGTCATTCCAGTACAAGCATAAAGACATTCTGAGTAGGTCCCTGCTCACATCTGAAATACACAGCTTGAGAAAATAACAGGAAATAGCAGAGCAAAGACGGTTTCCAAGAACTACAGAGCCAAATCAGCACTCTCTTCATGGTGCGCAAATTAAAACTCTGCTGCTCTGTGGAGCAGAGTGAACTATAGCAGAATCACTTCTATTTCTGCACAACTTGGCCTTTGCAAATACTGACTGCATTTTCATAGAGTAGTTAAGGTTGGAAAGGACCTTAAGGTCATCTAGTTCCAAGTCCCCGCCATGGGCAGGGACACCTCACACTGGACAATGTTGCCCAAGACTCTGTTATAACAGAAGTTAATGGGGAAGGTATGAAAAAAAATGCATGCATCACAAGTTGAAAACCAGGATTTCAAACAGGAATGAGACCTTCCAGACCTATCTAGACACACCTAATCGTGGTCCTGATTAACACCGCACTGGTACCTCCAAATAACTCTCTATTATAATATGGTTTATCTCAGATTTGCAAAATATAAGTTTCTTAAATGGCTGCTCCTAAACCAACTAAATGAAGTATGGAAATGGAGTGAGATCCATCAATGACTATTTTACACATCCTGTGGAATGGAGGCAATGAGGAGTCCTCGGGGTCTGAATTTCATTTGTTTGCAGTAACAAAACCAGGTTGGATAGGCTAGGTACAGTGGGATTAATTTGAAAGCTAAGCAATGATAGCTGCATGTACAAGAGAGCATCCCTTCCTCTGTCTGAGGGATGAGTGCTCTCTCCTGAAATGGGTATCAGAGATAGAGGGAAGGAATAATTTTCTGCATTGCCTGTTTTCTCTTTATTGACTATTGACCATTTGCTGAGAGAAGCTGGCTGGAATTTAAGCTGTGATTCATTTTACTTTGTCAATTGCTTCTGAGCTCTCTTCAATAAGAAAAGCAAAGCTGTGCACAATACCATCGTGGGACTTTATTGTCTCAATAACTCAGTCTATTCATTTTCATTGGGAAAAAACACAGACTTTCTATGCTTGGCCACTACATTTTTAGCTTGGGTTCTAGAAGTTGAAAGACATGCTTTTTGTTATCTTCAATATCTCTGTATCTAGCAGAGGTATTGCTAAATGGGTACTACAAATTGGTCTGGAATAATGGGGTAGTATTTCAGGGCATGAGACCTGAGAGTAAAAGTTCTTATAAACAAGGCTTTGCCAGCTTCAAGGTGAAAAAAAGCCAGTGGAGAAAAGGAAAGGGAAAAAGACTGAATGAAAGACTGTCCTGTTTGTGAGCTGTAGCTCTCAGATTTTCTTACCTATTTCTCAATGAAATCAGTGAAATATTCACGATCCTCAGTTAATTTCCAAGCTGACAATATTCAAAATACTACCCAAGAAAATCTGAAAGTGGCAGTGGAAAATGTGATCCGAGATACAGTGACTAAGGCTGAGCACGTTAAGAAGAAGACTGTGACTGCTATGGGCATGGTCTGTGCTCTTGGACAGCAGAGTCACACTCTGCATAGCCTTTGTGGTTAAAACTTGTTTTCCATGATACAGACACTTTCAATATGCAGTGTCAAAGAA